TTATAAAAACGGTAATACTGGAAACAAACAAGATGGATACATTTTACATTTGACTGATTACAGCCCCATTAGCCTTAACAGTACTTTTTGTTCACTCATTATGATGCAATTTCAGGATGCTTACATGCTAAACCAGTAAGGTGAGCAAGGTAAACATTATACATTAAAACACATTCTAACATTCTCATTATAAGCAAGTTAGCATGCCTACATTAGCATTGAGCCTAGAGCTCCACTTTGTTTCAGCAAAGCCTCACATAACTCCTAATTTGATTATTGCTTATTTACTCATGAATATTTTGACAAAATAGTTTAGAGTTTGCAGGGGCTTCAAATGGTTAGTCTGTTTCATTATGTTTGTTCGATAAATATTTTCTGTTAAAAGTCAAACGCTTCTGCTTCTTGTATTTGAATGTGTTTAGAGGCTGACTATCCCCACCAGTTGTCCAGCTAGTTTTGCAGAGCTGATGAGGAAATGTTGGCAAGCAGACCCAAAGGTAAGCTAAATGCACAAAAGATGCAGTCCTTAATCCCCAATAAATGGCTTTTATACTTCACTGACATCAAAGAGTGTGTCAGCTGGTTATTCTTGTATCTGTACCTACAGGAGCGTCCGCAGTTCAAACAGGTGATGGTAACCCTGGAGACCATGGCCAACGACAGCAGGCTACCAGAACAGTGTAACTCCTTCTTACACAACAAGGACCAGTGGAGGTACACACTCTCACAAAAACTCACTCACAGTGTTGAATAGACATTTACAAGAAAACACTGAGTGTATCTGCACTGCGTCTGAGAATGAGGCAGTGTATACAGTTAAGTCTTGGCCAGAATGACAAATGCAGTCTGTGATTAACCGTACTCCAAATAAAAGTCAAGATGCATGCACACAAATTCAACATAGTCACACATGTGTGTAGCTCAGCTCTGTGGGACTCTAAAGCTCAGGAGAGGAGTTGAATGTGTGACCCTGTGCTCTACTTCAGTCTATAATAAGCTCTTTGGAAAGTGTCCATGGTAGAGATTCCTCCTCTCCTCCACTCTGCCCTCGCTGCACCACGGGGGGAAGAACAGGGGAGAGGAGGGGGGGGGGAGGTTGAGGAGAAATCAAGAATGGGCGACAGAAGAGGAGAGGTTTGAAACAGAAATGTATTGGGTGAATGTGAAATGTAAAATACAGTACAAGGCAGGAACAGAGAGGTTAGTGGGAACTGAGAGGCTAAAGGGGTGGGACGGGGGAGAGAAAGAGAGGTAGGGGATGGAGCAGTGGAGAGAGGTGAGAGATTCTGAGCATATTTAACATGAGTACAGCGAGGCAATCAATTCTGAGTGAAGTTTTGGGTACGGGTGGAAAAAGTTGGACAAGAAAAGGAGGAGGGGGGAGGAAGAGTCGGGGTGGTTAAGGGGCGGGATGAATGAAAAGGGAAGAACATAGGGAACACAGGAAGAGGAATGGCTGGGCTTCAGATCTGTCTATATTTAGATGCTGTGAGAGTTGATTGTGTTTGTGAATGCAGGTTCATGCACAGTCACTGAGAAGCTCTAACAGTGGCCTCTTGTGGTGACATGCGGTACTGCAGGGACACAGTTTAGTCATTTCACTCCAGCATTATTGTGTTCTGCAGCCAGAGGTGGGAAGTAGTGGAGTACACATACTTTGTTACTGGACTTAAGAATATTTTTCTGGTATCAGTACTTTACTCCACTACTTACTTTTCTGACAACTTTTTACTTTTACTTCTTACATTTATAAAGTTCACCATATAACTCACTTCAATTCAGTTTTTTTTAATGCATTACCATAATAATTGTTGTGTTGTTCCCAAGGAAGAGGTAGTCACCCTAGAATCTACAATGTAGGCATTTATTTCCCCACTTAGTTTTTCTTTGCTTGTGTTCTGAATGGTTGTTGTTCAGTGTTGAAAAATTCATTAACTAACAATTACATGATTACAATTTGAAATAGAAGATCTTTAAAGTTCCATTAGTATAAAGTGAGGTCCAGTTACCAGTTACTCTATTTAACAGCTGGTAGTTATGGCTTCTTTTTACTGAAGTACATTACGAAGCCCATACTTTTTTACTTTTACTTGAGTAAAGAAGTTTAGTCAGTACTTTTACTTTTACCAGAGTATTTTTAAACACGAGTATCTGTACTACTTGAGTAAAGGATGTGTGTACTTTTCACATCTCTATCTGCAGAGATGTCAATTCATTTATGATAATATAATATATTGATAATCAATATATTGGCAATAAAACAAACTTTATTTTATTTAAAAAAGACTTTATAAACTAAATTGACGGACATGTAAAAGCAGGATAAGCATAAGGTAATGTAACAAGCCAAACAGAACCAACAAATGATACAACTAAAGAGAAAGACACAGAAACCAATAAGGGATAAGACAAAGGTTGATAAAATACATAAAGATAATGGACAACATATAAAAGTATGTCTATAAAAATGGGTTTTAAGTAGCAATGTAATGAGGTCACTACTTCCTATGTTAAGTCTTGTGGACTTCTATGGGCAACTAGAAAATACACATTTCAAAAATATTTGAAGTTATACATGGTGACATTGAACCTGTTTCATAGTACATCATATATTTGAGCCTGAGTGTGTTTATCTCAGACTTAAAGTTTCACAGCTATGGTCAATACTAGTATATTGTTACAGCAAATGCTTCTTTGTCGCTGCAGTGAAGGTGCTTTTATAAGTAGGCCACATATGCCTGAACTAGTCCACAATACATGACTTCTAATTTGTCTGCGTGTTCCCGTTCTACAGGTGTGAAATTGAGGCGACCCTGGAGCGCCTTCGGAAGCTGGAGAGAGAGCTGTACTCCAAAGAGAAGGAGCTGGAGGAGAGGGAGAGGAGGCTCAAACTGTGGGAGGAGAGGCTGATGGAGAGGTCCAACATGACCCCCAGTCCCACCTCCCTCCTCATGGAGCGCTCAAACATCTCACCAGTAAGTCGAGGAAATGCAGATCTGTTCAGACCACTCCCCAAAGGAATATTGAATAATACCTTGTTATAATCACCTCTCCTACCAGTTCTTCACACCGCTGTCCATCGGCTCCTCGGGCTCCTTTTTCCGCTCGCACTCTCAGGAATGCAACAGTGCCGGGGTGAGCAGCGCGGGGGTCAGCAGCCTCCTCCGGACCCTCAGCAACGGAGACACGGAGAGGGGGAGCAGTGCGGTGCTGGACAGGGGGGTGGGCTCGCTCGACAGCGGGAGGCTGCATGCTGTGTTCCGAGGGTTGCAGGGGAGATTCGGAGAGGAAGACGTGGAAGAGGAAGGGACCCTGGAGGAGAAAGGCTGGGGGCAGAGGGAGAGAGACGAGGGTGGGAGTGGGGAGGGAGGAAGGGTGCAGGTGACACTCAGGAGCTTCCCGGGAGGTGTAGTGGAGAGGGAGGAGAGGACGTGGGAGGAGGGGGACCGGGACAGAGGAGGCATGCAGAGGAGCAGGGTGACCACCATAGTCCGAGGGTACTCAGGCGGGTTTGGAGAGGCAGAAGGGGAGAGGGAACGGGAGAAGGAGGGAGGGTGGGAGATAGACAAATTAGGGGACAGGCTAGATGAGAGAGGGTTGGAGGGAGGTATGGAAGGAGGGATGCTCCCAACTATGTTCAAGGGTCTCCAGGGGAGTTTAGGGGGCTTGGGGGACATGCTGTCCTTAGACATGGATGACATGGGGGACATGGACAGACTAGGGGACATGGACATGAACATGGGGGACCTGGGAGTGAGGAAGGTGAGGAGCGAGCTGGGGGTCAGGGGTCGCAGGAGTGACATGGGAGTGGTGGTCCAGGGAGTGAGAGGTGACCGCAGCGAGGCCATCAGCCAAAAGATTAGAGGGGACATGGGGGTCATAGGTCACTCGGGGGTACAGGTGAGCATGCGGGCTTCGTCCAATCAGAACTCTGTGAAGAGCTGCAGCGTGCGACACGGAACCAAGATCAATATGGCGAGTGCGGCCATGGACATGATGGAGCTCGATTGGTCCGATAGCGACTAGAAAAGGAGCGCAAACACACAGAAATACACACAGAGGCCAAACTAGAAAGATATTGACTTGTTAGCACATACGATGTCTGAGCTACAGTATGTGCATTAGAATCTCCAGTTGGAAAACAGCTGGTTTACACATATTTGTTTTGTTATTTTATCTTTTTTTATTGAATGATGGAAACTACACCCATGTGTACTGTGAAGTGGGAACGAGCAACAGGACAATCAGAGGTTGTCTTGTCATATTGTCAGAATGACTTCACCTGTGTATTTTACTGTAATGTGCTATTAAAACAGCCGTATAACATACTGTAAGAGGTACAAGTGTTACAAAATAACACACTTGAATAGCGCTCTAATGAGGCAGCAGAGTCTGTTTTTTCTCTCCCCTGCTTTTAGAGTATCTTTTAGTTTATAGATGTGATTTGTTCAAAACAAGCTTTGACGTTCTCAGTTCTAACTGTGATTTAGTGTGTGCATTTTTGGCATTTCTTTCTGTATATTTTATCCTTTTTCAATAAAAAGAAAATAAGCTCTGATTCCATTCTTGTCATATTGAAGTTTAATAAATTGAACAACAGCAGTAGAAAAAAATGTAACGGATCATCAGGCAAAGCTGTCGTACCACAGTGTAGAATTACTTTTCTACAGGTCCTGTATTCAAGATTTTACAAAGGAAATATTACAGCAACAATAAAATACTGTACACTTAAAGTACCAAAGTTTAACTTCATTAAATATGCTACTGTATGTAGCTCTATTTAAAAATAATTGTTCATATTGTGTTGATTATAATATGTATCATCTCAATCTGTAAAGTAACTCCGTAAAGTAACTAAATGAAATACACATACTAAAAGTATGAAGTAACATAGAAGGGATTTGATCAAGTACCTGAAAATTGTAAAGTACTCGAAGTACTTGACTACAATTGCTTTCACTATTGATCAATAGTCAGTAGCAAGCAGAATATCTCACATGGATACCTTTTCCTATAAACTAAAATCCCTTTCAACTTCTGAATGTGGACCCCTGTCCCCCCCTCACACACTGAGCAGCAGAGCCACTCCTGCCAGCACCCACTTTGCGGGCCTCTCCCTGGTCTTGAGGCTGAAGGTCCAAACATATGTGGGTCCTCTGATCTTGGTTTTGTAGACCGGGCACTCGTAGATGTTCCTGGTCTCCTGGCGGTCGTTGGGCACCGCTCGGACCGAGATGACGGGCATGCCTGGGGTCAGTTCCTTTAGACGGGCCTCAGTGATCACCCCCGCCTGGGTGTCCCATCTCGCACCTGTCAGACGAAGTGAGGAGAAGAGACAAAATTGTATCAAAACGTTACAAAGCTTTAGCGTGAATGACATAATTTTATTCACAGAGGGAGAAAGTTGAGCGTTTAATCAAAATGTCCTAAGATAATATAGTGTAATAGTCTTGATCAATGATAATTAGCAGTAAAAGGGCCCTCCATGTTCCCTGACATTAGAGAGTAAATAAAGACAGTGTTTGTCTACCTTCCATGTAAAGTCCATATACGTATGCACCCTCCCTGGCAGGTTGGTTAAACTCTTCCTTAAATTTCTTTGTCACATCCACTGTCAGGTTCACTTTATCCAGGGGCCACTCGTTCTTACGTGCCAGAGTCTGCATCACCGCTACAAAGCCAAAACAAGATTTAAAATCACCCAAAGGATTAGTGCAGAGTAAAAAGATAAAGGGAGATGAAATTTTTTTAAAAGCATTGAAGCTTAGGTAAAACTCTTATCTGTGTGCACAATGTGTGTTACCAGTGAGGAAGGATTGTGGGTTGAAAAGTCCAGACAGCCAGACAACACTCGGCAGAGACAAATCCTGAGTCCAACTGTCCAGCTCCTTACAGCGCTGCAACACATCATTGTACCTGACACACACACACACACACACACACACACACACACACACACACACACACACACACACACACACACACACACACACACACACACACACACACTTAGGAAAATGTCAATCTTCTGGCCAAAGTCAAAATAGCCCATACAGTAAATATCTAACAGCTAATTTAGATGCATTGATCTATATGTAATGTAGCGTACAGTATAGCAAACAGCCAATTCCCAACATTTCTAAAAGCACAACATTTACACACACACACACACACACACACACACACACACACACACACACACACACACACACACACACACACACACACACACACACACACACACACCATATAGCCAGGCTGTAGGTGGAGGGGTAGGCCAGCTTGGTCCAGGTATCGGGGACGTCGTCAAAGAACAAGGCTGTTTGCAGCTTCTCCATCTCAGAGGAAATGGCCAGTTCACCCTTTGACAGATACATTAAAGTGTTACATCACTATCACATACAGTAAATTGAGGGTGCTACTTGAAGCAATGTAAGGTGAAGACACAACACGTTAATACACAAGTTAAAATAACATTAAGAAAATCATTTTCAGTATAACAAGTATCTTTAAATGTTATGCTTAAGTATGCAAATTAGTCATCATCTTATGTGTGCCAATTGTTATAAATGTGCAGAACAGAAGAATTAGTCAGCCAATTGGATTATGCAAAAACAAAAACACAGAGGTGTGGAGCGTACCTTGAGTCCCAGGTCGAGCTCCTTGAGAGAGCGGCGTATCTCAGAGATGAGTGTGTTCATGCGCTCACACTCCTGGAAGCAGACCAGGATGTACGGGGAGCGTTCAGCTGTTTTAGAGGTGATGTCCGACATGTTGTACTCCTCTGGAAGTTTCTCCAGCACCTCATCTAAAATGGTTTTCACCTGAGGGAGGGTGGGTACAAGATTAAATAATGCATCACTCTCCACCTTGTTTCTCTAAGAATTAGACAATTAGAGTCATGCTGCTATTGAGGTAAATAAAAAAATCTGGCTTGTAAAAAAAAGAACTTACATTACTTAATTTGAGAATCAATATATTTTTTATGAAAATATAATTCTCAAATAACCAACATCTACTCCCAAAATAAATAATTGTCCCTGCAGGTGTAGCTACTGTACCTTCTCCTCCAGGGTCTGCGAGACCCCCTCCCCCATCACAGCGTCAGGAGACTGCAACTCCAGCAGAGTGTGGAAAAGGTTATCGGACGTCACTGTCAGGAACTCAATCTCTGCATTGGGGTGCAACCCATAATGCACCGGGCTCTCATGTGGCAGCATCTCATCTATAAAATCATGGTAGCCCTGGAGATGTAGAGGGAGAAATGGTGAATATCTTTGTTTATTTTCATTTTTCTGTAAGTCATTTGTTTTTTGTATTTCAAGTGTGTTACAGCCTGACATATTTAGTGTATTGACTTCACTAGTAGTCATTTCACTTTTAATTTGAATTTATCCAAGCCCTGACTGCACTTGAAATGTTTGTACTTTCAGACCAGTTCAATTCAAAATAGAGGAGAGCAAAAACAGTTTTGGATTTTAAAGCACGTTTCATCAAAAGTCTCCCCCTGTAGTTACCTGGTAATCCAGGTTGGAGGGGACGACAAAGCCAGGAGCCAAAGAAAGCTTCCGGTCAAACTGGAAAATAAAACAGCAGAAAGAAAAGTTTTAAGATTCAGATCATTAAAAAAGAAAGATTAAATTGTCCCAGACCAGGTAGCCAAAATGTCTTGGTCCAACAGTAGATTCAATCTGCCGCATTAGCTTGCCAGAAACTCTTTAGCTAACTTGCCAACAACTAGCCAAATGACTGCTAACTGGAGATGATCTCAGCCAAAATGTAATCCAAGTTTGCAATCCAACAACACAGTGAAATCTGGCAGATAAGTATCGTCTAAAACCAAAGCCAGTTTGTGCTGTTTGTGCTAGAATAAAGCTGAGTGTGCCAACAATCAGCCAGACATTCACTTTCTCTGTCATGAAGAAAACAAGAAACCTGGTTGGGCTGCATGTATTCCTCCAGGTATGTCCTGCAGAGCCGTCTGTCCCAGTCGTCAGTGATGTGTCCACCATACATGATCTCCCCAAACAGGTACCTCAGGTCCTCCCATGGCACCTAAATCATCACAATTATTTTGAAAATCCGTTCAAATATGATCAACATCATGCTTTAGCTGCTAATAAGACCCATGCACCAACACTCCACCTGTGCATTGGCCTCCAGGTAGTTGTAGAGGACGTTAACTGATATCGTCAGGTCTCCAGTGTTGAAGGGATACTTCCTGTTCCAGCCCTGAGGACCAAACTTCCTACAGTATAATAGGGGACCTTTAAATCATGGGTCTCTTTATAGGACATCCTGGACCAGTGCAGCCGTGAGCAGGAGTTTAAGACCATCCTCTTCTCTCTGTGTTACTTCCACGCCTGTGTGGCTGAGAGGAGGAAGTTTGGTCCTCAGGGCTGGAACAGGAAGTATCCCTTCAACACTGGAGACCTGACGATATCAGTTAACGTCCTCTACAACTACCTGGAGGCCAATGNTCCCAGGTTCGGTGCTTAGTCATATGAGGCAACGTAGTAAACAAATTGTTTATTTATCAATTAAAGGTCACCTATTATGCAAAATCCACTTGTTCATGTTTTTTATACATAAACATGTGTCCCCTCTGTGGAAAGAGATTCTGAAAGTTTCAGGAAAAAAGATTCGCTCACTTTTTCCTAGAGCACCATTGTGTTCTTTTTAACCAAATATCTCTCAGAGGGACGTGGGGAGGGGCTCCTTATTTTCATCTAAAGTAACAGACAGAGAATCAGCCCTTTTGAAACAGGGCACAGAGATTTCCACAAACCGAGCTTTAATGGTTTGTCTAGTGTAGGGTAATAAGAGNGTTTACTACGTTGCCTCATATGACTAAGCACCGAACCTGGGAGGGACAGAGAGCCTTCTCTGTCGCTGATAAAAAAATATTATATTATATATATATATATATATATATATATATGTATTATATTTTTATTCCAATCTATTTCAATGTAAATACAAATTATAATTTTTTTATGTCATTATAGTGTATCTGCATTTTTAAAAAATAAATGTTTTACTGTTATGTATGCACCACAACACCAAGTAAAATTCCTCGTACTGTATGTGTCAACCTACCTGGTAATAAACCCGTTTCTGATTCTGATTCTATGAGACACTTACCTGGTCAAAATTATCCAGAGCAGCATGCAAATTAGCATGCATGCCTGTAGGCGGTTCATTGGTGATCTTGATAGCGTTTTCCAGGATTCCCTGAGGAAAACACATCAGATAAGATTCACATCTGGGAGAAATCAAGCGTACATCTGATATACCTGGGAGCCTACATTCATTCCATGTGCTGCATTGACACGACCCTTCTGCACAGTGCGCCTCTACCTGTGGGATAATGTGTTCCTGGGGGGTGGGGGCCGGCTCAGCGCTCATAAACACCCTGTAGTCCGGGTGGCTGCCTTCACAGCAGCGCTCCAGCAGCTTCTCCAGGGAGCCCAGCCAGCGGGCAACCAGGTGGATGTTCTACAGGGAGGTCGAGAAAACACACCTTAAAAATCTAGTAGTGGGTGAACAGTTCAAAACGTTCAGAATAAACTCATCTCTTCCAGTCCGACCTGCAAGATAACCCAGTGACCCTCCTTGGCAGCCTTCTCCATGGCAACCTCAGCCACAGCTTCCTGGCCCTGACCCAAGGACACGTTGTGAAGCTTCCCAAGGTCGATGGTGAAACCCAGCTTCCTTCCTGGGAACACAAGATTGAATTCAGAATCTTTCTCAGTTTTGAAGTAAAATCAAAATCTAACCTTTAGAAAATCCTTCATCTGACCGTACTCCCACTGAAATACATATTTGATCTCTACTTATCTTTTCCCTTCCTTCAATGATTTTTCTGCTTTTACTCCTTTCATATTTTTCTCTGCATTCTTCCCACAATGCTTTTGCAGTATATTGTAAAGGAACATATTTTCTAAAAGCCAACTGGGCTTAAGGACACCACTTAAAGAAATATCGCTTTGCACAAGTACAAAAAAACGAGATGTCAATGTAAAAACCCTGTATGAGTATTTATTTGTGTATGAGTGCATGCAATGTGTGTCACTCTGTTTTTCAGTACCCAGTGATTCCACATCTTTAAGAGGGTCCACTCCGGGGGAGAGGATGAAGAACACAGGTGAGGCTGGTCCACTTTCTCTGAAGGACTTTGCAAATTCAGTCTTCCGGCCCTCTGTGTACTTCACCCCGAGCTTCTCCTCCACAAAGTTCCTTCAGTACGCCAATAGGAACAGCAGACATAGTCAGGGTTTAGGATAAAGTGATTGACAACTGGATAATCTAAAAGGAAGAAACACAAGTGACATAAGGCGAGAAAAACCCTCCTTACTTCAGAGCATAGGTCATGCGATCAGGTCTCAGGGCTCTCATCATGATGAGTTTCTGCAGGGAGCTTTTCCCTTTCCACTCCTGAGGAAACTTCTCTTTCTCTGGACACTCAGACTCCACCATCTTCTTCCAGCGTTTAGGAGAGCCCTCAATGTCCCGATCTAGACCGCGAAACTCATCTGTGAAACTCATCACCTTTGCAAACACACAGGAGAGCAGCAGGTTATGTTTGACAATATCATCTAAGGATGTGAGTCAGCAAAAAAAGTCCTGTGTGTGGATGTGTGTCTGCATGCACTTTGATAGCACTCCACGCTGAGTTGGAGAGGAAGTCCAGGGGGCTGATGTAGTGGTGGTCGATGTTAAAACGTAGCAGGAAGTCTAGCTCTCGCACATCTATCTCCTTGCTCATCAGCAGCAACTGCAGAGGAAGGACACAGTCAGGAACACAACACACACACACACTCTCTCTCTTTAACGCTGACACATACACACCTGGAAAGCCAGCTGTGCAGTAAAGGTGAGCTTGTCTCTCTCAAATAGTCCCCTGCTGATGTAGTTGAAGGTGGAGTAAGTAACAAGGTCTATGAGTATGTTTACTCTGCTCTTCACATCCTCACAGGCCTCTGCTAGTGCCACCGCTTTGTGGAAAACCACGTTAAAGGCCTGAATGAAAATAAGAGAAAGAAGGTTTATTATTCACGTGGTCTTAATCACGGCATTAATGCATCACAGCTTTAGGAAAATCACTGTTTTCTTTGTATTCGATTTGTCAATTCCTAGGCTGTCAGTCAGCTATTAAAGTGACTTGTATTGCTATTTATCTAGAGATAGTTCTGGTGTGAGTTACTGAGTGCTGGAGATAACGGCTTTAGAAAAGTCAGATTTCTCTCAAATGTAATTGAGCTTTCAGGAATTATGGCGCGGTATATTAAGAAAATTCACAGACCTCGTTGTGAGCAGTTTCATGTAGGAATAATTATCCTTATATAATGTCACAACCCTTTTTCGCAGGTGTAGTTGTAACATTAAAATAGTTGCTATCTACACTACAGATTGCAGCACAGGTAGCAGAAATATGTATTCATTTTTTTGGGGGAACTATCCCTTTAACTTTCCCTTCTGGTTACCTTGAGGCTGAACTGGTATATGGGGTTGATCTTGTTAAGGTCGTTCATGATGAAGTAGAGCAGAGAAGCTCGGACAGCAACGAGCCGATAGTGTTCTCTGGCTTCGTTTATCTTCACCTCGTTGACTTTAGCTTCCACAACCTGAGAATAAGTGATGGAGGGAGAAGACAGAGGAAGAAGAGATGAAATGATGGATAACAAGTCAACTTATATAATATATACTATAACAACTAAGAACACACATTCATGCTGCTACCTTCATCTCAATCTCAGCAGCGGTGTGCTTGGTGGTCTCGAGCTTCTCCACCAGCACGTTGTCCCCCAGGAAGTTACTCTCTGCAGCGGACAGCCGGGTCAGCAGCTCGTCCTCCAGGAGCTTCAGCTCAATCTTGAACATGTTCTGCTGTTTGGTCAGGTTGCTCTGCGGGAGTTCACACAAACAGCACTGATGATTCTTGGAATTGCTGAGTGTACAGCATTAAACCCTTAGTAGCGATATTTTTGGCAGGGTTTCAAGTTTTTTTATTTGTCCCTATTGTAAGTCTGTAATTAACTGTGTTGCTTGAATACACACTCGGAATCAAGTTTACGGAAAACAATACATTTTCATTTAAAGGGTTATAATTCAGAAAATTAATGAATATTTATAAGATATTATTAGGACTGATGTTGGTTAAAGAATGTACTTATTTAAGTGGAAATAATATTAATATAACATTCTATCGCTGTTTTTGATATTGAGAAATCTTCATCCTGTTTGGATATCAAAGCAGCTTTTGGTCGTGAGGTATAATGGTTAAAACATTAAAAGCACTGTTGGACATTTATTAATATTATAATAAATAACTGGATAAGATTCAAATGAACCTTTATTGATCTCCTAGGGTAAATTCAGTTATCCAACTGGAGGATTCTCATAAATAATTGTCCCCACCTTCAGGTGCTCGAGGTCGGGTCTCTCCTGGTTCACCACCTGGGCCAGGAGCTGGTCCTCTAGTCCGTCTCTGGTCACAGTGAAATTGATGAGGGTGGTCTGTGCTTGAATCTCTGGTTTGTAGTGAGGGTTGGCCAGCTTGGTGTGGAGGATCAGTCTAAAGCCTGGGTTGAAGAAACACTCCTTGTCCCCAACCTTTATACAGCTGTGATGGAGCGTTACAGAGCAGGGAAGTTTCAACTATAAGAGGAGCAACAAATAATACATTTTTGTGTACAGTGCACTCTTTCATGTGTGTGTGTCCCACCTTCCCTTCTTGATGGTGTGTCGTCCCAGCAGGGGGTCAATAACAGGGTCGATGGTCTCCTCCAGGTTCTCTATGAGGACAGTGTGTCCTGCCACCACAGCCTGCTCTATCACATCTACATATCTGGAACAACATAAAAAGCTCTCCCAGATAAAGGAAATAAAAGTGCTGCTGAGAGCGAGCATCAGATATATAACTCTGGGTCGGGGCCAGAGCAGGTTTATATTAAAAGACTGTATCTCTACCCGAGGATGATAAAAGAGGATTTATTAAACACTCACCCTGTCTGCCCCAGACTGACGACTTTCAGGCTGCTGCCGTAGCGGCTCTTGATCCACTTGATGCCTTGCAGCTGAGGGTCAATGAGGAGAGGCCAGCGCTCACCTAAAGAGGTATTCACACATTGACATTTAGTAAACCTAGCACGTTTTATTGCAAAGAAAGAGACTGTAGTATCACTTGCTGCCACTACTCACAGTTTGTGAGGATGGTTGCATTCTGAGTTGACATTTTGTCTCCTGGTAAGCCTTCATTGTTCCACTGGGCCACCATCGCCCCGTCAGTCAGCATCAACACTGGATCCAGGCCCTCTGTCATGGGGATGGGCATCTGGTGAGGTTAGACACATATGTTATAATTGTGGGGGAAACTTCTGAAGCAATTGGAGACTCAGAGAGACACAAGGAGAGCTGGAGCTTTGATGGCAAACACTGACTGTTTATTTGGAGCTTCGGCCGGAGAATTCACAAGACATGTCACGGGCCACGATCTGACCACACGGTTGAGATGCCACAATCAATTCTGAACAACTCTTCTGTAGCTCAAGGTTTTAACTAGTTCAGAGTGTAATAATCAACATTCTTCATCAGCGAGACTAAACAAATATGGACCCTGAATCTAACTAGAGCTGTCGTCCATAGAAAATAATGTGCGCCAGGGAACCTACGTTCCAGATAGAAGAAGAGCTTCTAGATGTCCCTGAACAATAAACTATCTCATGTCAGCTTGTGCTCGGTCATAAGCTGGCAACAACAATGCGCCCAAGCTGCCCCTCCTTAAGAGAGATAGCAGCAATACCCAAGGCTGTAGACCTATGTAGTGTGAAAGATGACAGTGAAAAGAGAAAATGATGAACTGGGTCAAAGGTTGAATACTTAAGCAAATTATTCCCCAACAATAATTGAAATGAAAACATAACCTCCTGTTGTAAAGACAGGAAGTCCTTTGTGAAGAAGGAAAAAGGAACAGATATGTTATTTTCAATCTAATATGTGACAAGAAACATTTCCTTTAGTACTGTATTTACAGTAAGAACAGATTCAATGTACTTGTACTTCAATGGAATATTTACACTACATATAACTGTACTCTTCCTATCTACTACATCTACAACAACGAGGGAAATAGTGTACTTTTTAATCTTGTTGATTTTAAATGTATGAGATAAACTTGAATGAAGTTCTCCAGCAGTATGTCTTGAGAAACTTCTATCTTTTAAGCTAAATTAACTATATAAAAGGTCCTTGGTTTAGCTTACAAATGCATCATCACACAGCTGATCATCATGAAAAGTGATAGTCAACATTTTTACTGCACACTGATACACATTTTATTTAAGTTAGGTTTTGAATGCAGGACTTTTACTTGTAGTTGATTTTTCAAACCGTGGGGTTTTAGTACTTTCACGTTTGGAAAAAATCTGAATACTTCTTTCCCCTCTGATTGTAAAGATAACCTTATAATTAAGACAATATTCCTCATTGTAAGATTGTGACCTTCTGGCTGCGCAGGAAGGGCACCCAGAGGTTGTCCAGAAGCTCTCTCCTGTACTTCTTGGAGAAGGATCCGGCGTAGGAGATGAAGGCCGCGGTGAGGAGGAGGTCGCCGCTTAGTGTTTCCTCCTGCTCGTGGTACTGAGCCACTGAGTGGGCCCAGCGCACATTCTCACTCTGAAACATGCACAGATAACATAAATACAATGAGACACGTGGGTATATTTCAATAAGCACCTATTAACCCTGAAATATTTCATTCTTATCTAAAGCAAAATGTACTTTAAGATGTAAACTGATCTCTCATTGGTTGCTGCTGTGCCCACCTCCAGTCCTTTGACAAGCCGATTGGCTAGTTCTATTGTCTTGTTGGTGCGATTGACCTCTTCCTGAAAGCGCAATTTCTCTGAAGTGGCTTTCTCAAATGCTGTTGTCAGAGTTTCCAGGCTGCTGTCCAGCTCCTGAGGGGGATGTGAAATGATGTGCAACATGTAAATAACCTGGAAATAAATGTAATAAAACAAAAATAACAGCATGAAACCACACATTAACCTCTGTCTAGAAGGCACTCAGTAAGATCTACTGTTACAGTACGGGTAGGTCAACAAGCTATTAAAACACGTCAAGGATCAGAATTAAATAGAAATTGCTCGAGGAAAAGTGGATTATAAGATTGCCTATAAAAGTCACTGCCTCAAGTAGGAACCAATAGGACCTTTACAAAAGACTACAGCCCCTAAGTCACATCAATAAAATGTGGGGCCATTTACACCAGAAGCGAACAACGTTTTCTCTTGTTCAGCAGTTTATATGGCAATCTGTAATTTGAGTTTATAGCAAATGTAGATAGAGAAAACTAAGAAAGGAAACATGATTTAAACAGACATACAGCAAGCTTTTTCCTGATAGCCTCTAGTTTCTCAGCAGCTTCAGTCAGATCAGCGTTGGCCTGAGACAAACACATCCTCTTCATCTCTACCTCACAAGATACCTGCAGACAAAACAAAATGCACATACACGCAAACACAGAGCAGTTTGACCCAAAGACAGCAATTATTTTGATGGAATCCCTAAAAAAAACACCATAATAAGCAAAGAATATGTAAAAATAAGTGATAAGTGATTAGAAAATCACCATGTCACATTATTTCAGACTAAACCATAACCTGTAACATTAGTGAAAAGCGTATGTGACATTAAAAACAAAACTTTGGTCACATAAAATATCATGCACACAGTGTATATCTTACGTAAAAAAGCTTGTACTTACGAAGATCTACCCGAAGCAGAAATATTTGGGGAAACAGAATAAAAACAAATCAACCACAAGAACACATTACTGTATCCTGGAAATCATCACACACTGGCCTAGCGTGGATGACAGTAAATATGGATGACAGCCGGTTTCTATGTGTGCACCTCGTGGAAGCGAGTGATGTTGATCACCCAGGCACAGAGCCCTGCAGCAGCAGAGGATTTCTGTCGTACAAACTCGGGGTTGAACTCGGGGTCACTGAGGTGCTCGTCTCTCACGCACCTCACCGTGGCCTCGGGGATGTGCTCTTTGTCAAAGTTCACCAGAGCCTGCAGGAAGTCATCCACCTGCACAAGCAGAGGTGTGTGTTGTGGAAATTGATAAGAAAAAAGCATTGGCAAGCTTCTAATGTAACAGTGTTTGATGAAATCCGTTTATATACAGTAGAGTGCTTGTTTTTTGGTTGAAAAACTATTTTATAAGAGGCAAATTAAGCAGCTGCACACTGAACATAAATTAAAGAGGCTACAAATCCCCCAGTATAAAAGGCTATTAGTAAAATTGAGAAAATATGTAAATGGGTAAATTAAGGAATAACAAAGCAATCAATTCACCATTGCAAAAAATATGAATACACATTCACAATAACTATAAATATTGAATTTTTAGTTGTGTTGGCATCTCAGACGAGCGATAAAAAAAACAGTAAATCATTTTAAATGTGTTGTGCAATGTTTTTTCTTCAGTAAATGAAATATATATGTGGGCTCTTTGGCTTTGCGTTAGCCAGCCATTAATCTAAGAAACACTACGAGGCGTCGCTGTGAAATATCACCTTGCTCATGACCATCTTGGAAGCCTTCCAGCTGCGATCTTTGGGGATTCGGCCTTGGGGAGACAGTAGCACCAAAACAGCTGCCGAGACGTTAGTGACAATAGCTGGAGGGTTGGGGAACGTCCTCAGCTCCGTCAGGTTCAACTGGATAAGCACACACACACACACAAAACAATTAAAATAAATCAATTGTGGTAACAGGATTTCAGTCTCTATATTGATGTGTATTGAGTTACCCTGTTTAATGTATTGAGGGCTGAATTGGCTGCCTGTAGGGCTGGTTCAGCCTTTGCCAGGTCGTCCTCAGTCTCCTGTTGCTGTTTGGTCACTTTAGCTTGGATTGCTGCCACCTGAAGAAAACAAAAACAAAGGCATACAAATCATTTGAACTCTACTTTCTACCTTTAATTAATTGTTGCACGTTTGACTATATATACTGTAACACTGAAGAAGTGGCAGGAAATCCACGACTTTACATATACAAGTATGTGCCATTACACACACACACACACACACACACACACACACACACACGCACACACGCACACACGCACACACGCACACACACACACACACACACACACACACACACACACACACACACACACACACACACACACACACACACACGCTCAGTGTTACCCTTTGCTCCTCTGCATCTGCCACAGCTCTCTCTTGGTTGAGCCTGTCTGTCTGTTGTCCTATTTGATCCAAGAGAGCCTCTATGTCCGAGTTCCTCTGCCACAGCTCCACCTCCTGCACTGCTAGCTTGGCTTTCAGATCTTCTACCTGAACAACGGAAAGGAAGGATATGAAAAAACATGAAGATGGTACACGGACTAAGGGAATAAAGGACATAAACAAACTAAAGACATTGTCTGACCTGTGAGGCAGTCGTCTGAAGTTTCTGCAGGCCGTTTTCTAACCGCTCCATCTTCTGGGTCAGCTCTGTGCGTTTTTTCCCCAGCAGGTTGCCGTACAGTTTCATGAACTCAAGGAAACTCTTCGGGGTGGTGTAGTTAAAGTGTTTCTCACTCTGCTGGTACTTTACACTCACCTGTAGCGTGTGGTTAAACGAGAAGCCGAGAGATGATGTCAGAGAAGGTAAAAGAAAGGGCGGTTATCACCCATGGTGCTTTGCAACAACTCACCTCATTGACACTGGTGTGGGCGTAGGAGATGAACTCACTGATAGACGCCCGCACATTTGGCTGCACAGGATACACACGCACAGAGGTTTTGGGAATTATTAAATTGACCCACATAGTTTTAGAGCGACCTCATTTTTCTTAATAGACTTCATTAACACAAAACGTCATGTTTATAGATACAACGGGTATACTACTTACATTTCCAAATAATATTTCCACTATTAAAAAATGCATGTTTTTCCTTTGCGTTGCTGTATAAGTGTGTGTACAGTATGTGTAAGAAGTATTGGGATGCCGGGGCCGTTGTTTTTTAGCTGCCTTTAAGTTGGATGCCTTTGGTTTTGTTTATGTTTGTTCTGCATTTATGTATACAAGGTAAAAAATGTAATACAAATCTTAATGACAAAAATTCAATAAAAAAATGCATGTTTCTATTCTTCAACTCCCAAAGGAAGTATTTAATATTTAAAAGAAAATGTGTATGAATGCTATATGAATTAGCACCTCCAGTCCAGGTATCTTCTCGATGAAAGTAGTGCTGACAGACTGCAGGGCGAGCTGAGGCCAGGAGTGAAACCAGTCTATGGCTGTACAATTCACCAGAGCCGGAAACTTCCTTGCACGCGTCCTCAATGTGAACCCGACTGGGGAGAAACACAAGACAACCTGGAAGAGGGTGGTGGAAGTTATATTTAATAATCAATTATATGGGAGCAAGCATATTACACATAATACTGTTTCAGACCTTGAGCTGTCTTCGGATCCTCTCAATAAAGAAGCTCCAGCAGTTGTCTCTGCTATCTATGAGTCCTAATCCTCTCAGCTCCATCCGGATGGAGGTCACAATCATGTCCACCTCTTCATCACTGAACAGGTCTGGAATATCCCCTAAATAACACAGACAATGCAAGCTCAAAATTAGAATTTGTTCCTATTTACAGTACAAAAGGTGAATACAGAACTCAGCAGTGTTCAGTGGAGTTGCTTTCAGCTGATTGCAATAGTTTCTCCCTTTTATATTTCACCTGATAGAGTAAAATGTTTTTGTGTGCTTAAACTAGAGGGGAATAACTAACACCAGTGTGATTCTGGTGAGATTATGACCATCCTGGCCAAAGTTACAGATTACAGTTTATGGATTCAACTTGTGTTCACTTGTATTGCACACTGACTGTAAAGGTACTGTATGCTAGCGGCTAAAGCTCAAAAGGTCATACAAAATACACTTGTGTTTATTTGGACAATATGTGTAATAAAAAAAAAAAGTGAATTAGAATCAGTCGGTTTAACGTGGGGAATGATTCATCATTATCCCTGCACCACTCTATCAAGGAAACATATCATTCAATGACACATTTTGACAAGGTTTCTGGTTCCATCCCCTTTCCCTTACATATATACAACCTGTGTATCACTTGTTTTCGTACACTGCTAAAAATAAACATGTATATGCCGATGATATTGATGGTATTCCCTAAAAGAAAGTATGCTGACTTTAGCTTTTACATGTAACACACTGAAGCAAGACTTCTTTGCTCATCAACATAAAAGGAGTTTAGCACAGTCCGTGTAACCGAACCTGAGGCCAGCATATCGTTGATGAGCACCAGGAAGCGTTCGTCTGGAATCTGGGCGTCTGTATGCAGGAACACTGTCCCAATGTTCTTCACCCCCACCTTTATATACAATGCTGCTATATCACTCTGGAGATCCGGGACAAAGAACAAGTAAATATGTCATGCTACAGGTTTACTTACATGAAGTGACATTGTGTATCTTTTGTGCATATGTTTACCTTGAGGTCATTGATTCCATAACCTTTACGAAGAGTGATTTGGAAAACTTCCAGTGAGCTGAGGAAAGCAGCCAGCCGACAAAGACTCTGCTTCCCGCTGCCCCCGACCCCCACCAGCAGGGCGTTACCATAAGGGGCCTCCAGGATACGACTGATGCGACACCTGAGCACAAACAACAGAATGAATTGTGTGTCTATGCCCTGTGGTTTACATATGTGCTAATCTGTGTAAATCCTCCCTGGTGCATGTTCTTGTGTTATAACAATTATTCATGCAAATGTCTCTGCGTGTGTGACTTACACATGCTGGATGGCTTCTTCAAACAGTACCAGGTCCATAACGGCATTCAGCTCATTATAATGCTCCAAAGCATCAGCCAGCGTCTTCTGGAGTTTCTCCCAGTCTGAAGCCTGACAAGACGGGCAAATAAACAAAAGTAACTCTCGAGTGAGGGCAGCAGTGTCAAAGTGACTATGTGGGAACTTCCAGATATGTAATTAAATGAAGTTCCTATCAAGACTTGAGTTGATTAACTCCCAATTCCAACCCCACACAGAAAAGAAAGGTAATTAGTTTAGCTAATGACAGTGCACTCATTCTCATTTATCTTCTGACAGATTAGACATGACAGGAGAATATGTGCCATAAGGTTTTTCAATATGTGAGCGACTACAGTCTGCATACTAAATTGATCAAAGTCAAAAACAATTAAACTTACATATTTTATTACCATGGTTAATAAAGAATAAATGGATGCTTGATGGGAGCAACATTGTATATAAATCGGAACTACTGTAGCTTGTGTGTGAACGTGTCGAACCTGATGGTAGCGCGGCTCTCCCACTCCCAGAGCAAAGTGACAGTACACCAAAGGCTGGTGGATGAAGATGGACTCGTCTAATCCCTGGAGGAAACAGGCAGACACAGATATATGAAAAAGGCAAGGCAATACCGAACAGGCCACAGTTAAACTGCCCACATGGCTATACAAAAAAAAGTATTTTTAACTATACAGTATGGCATACTAGAGATTGCCTAGAAACAGAATCTGTGTTTTTCATATTTTTGGATCTGGGGGTGTTGCTGTGTTTCTTTGAGTAAATGTATTTGAATTGATGGTCAGTGTTGAATACAACATATTACATTTACAGGATTTTCTTGTTTTTCTAAACATTATTCACCCATGTCACAGAAAATCCATCTTCCCAAACACACACATTTGACCACAGAAGATATAAATGTACAATTATTGACAACAATATAAACCACAAAAAAAACATAAAATATAGAAAGATGTGTTGAGAAATAATAGAAAACCAAGAAAAATAATAGAAAAATAAAGAAATACAAATGCTATTCAGAGATTACTGTAAAGGGTTTCTGGAAAATAAATTCAAGGAAGCACACTTAAATGTACTCTGTTTAAAAAATGTCAAGCAAAGGACATTGCTTTATTTTTTGTTATTAAGATTTGTATTACATTTTTCACATTTTATACATAAATGCAGAACAAACATATACAGGCAGCAGCAGACTCACACACACATGCCTACATACACCTGCGCACACATTAATATATACATCAACGCAAAGCATCTAGATACACATTTACAACAAATACATCATATACACGCACATGTACATGTACACATATACAAATATACTTCCTGTCCCTCCCTAGGACAGTGCACCTTTGATATAGGCCAAGAAGATGTGCCGCACTCCATTAGATTTGCTTGGGACATTATTTACCCTGGCGATCATCATTTCAAAGGCCGCAGTCTCTGTCATGAGTTTGAGCCATTCTGTAAACTCTGGCTTATGTGGGCTCTTCCAGTTGCGTAGGATAAGCCTGGCAGCTACAATAAAACCTGTTAAAGTCAGTCTAAGTTCTGCTTTAGTAAGGCCCGGTGGCACAAGAGATTAGTCCGCCAGCAAACAGAACTGTGGTGATTCTGGTAGAGGCTTTCTGAGCCACCCTTCACGGTTTTTTAATACCACTTTCCAAAAAGGCAGTACCCTTGGGCAATCCCGCATAGAGCATGAAGAAATGTGCCCATTTCTCTATTACATTTCCAACATGTATTGTCCTGAGCCATTTAAAAAAATGCAGGGGTGTAAAATAATATCTATGCACAATTTTATAATGGATAAACTTGCTTCACGTATCCCTTGTAGCCCATACATTCGAGACTATATCCTGCCATAGATCCTCCCCA